CTTTTTTCTAACAACTCTAATCTTCGCACATATATGACCTTATAGTATTGCAGGTGCCGCAAAAACTCTAACTAAAACGAAAGTTACAACAACAAAAAAAGTAAACTGACACTTCCAAATACATCTAATTTTAGCAAAGTACCGCACCACGACAAACCCGCTTGCCATTATGTCTGAGAGTTGTGCACCACGGTAGAGGTGGGCAAAATCCGGATAGATATTCGGATAATCGGATAATTCTCAATGACACTTTATCCGAATTCAGACTCTTAAACTCTCTTTCCTAACCCGTTTGTCGAAGTGGGTGCAATCATTTGTTGAAATGGTTCTAACCCATTTGCCGAATCGGTTCATACCATATTATTTACCGAAAAGGTGCACTAACAAATTATCCGGATTTTGCTAAAGCGACTCATTGCCCAGCCCTACACCACGGAAATAAGAGAAGCCTTCCGCACCAACGCCACACAATTATTAATAAATTATTTAGTCGTGTTTGTCTTATTTTCATTGTCCAAAACTCACCAACAAAACACTGAGGAATTGCTTTGTTGCAGTGCGGTGCTAGGCTAAGGGAGGAAAAAAAAAACAACAACTTTTGTGGCTTTCACTCCCAATTTTGTTTTCATTCTGCTTTGCAGAGAGTCTAAAAGGTCTGTCCCTTTTGTATTGGGAGCTCGGGTTCTTCTTTTTTTCCCCTTTTCTATTGTTCGAGTCTCTCTGAATTATATCGTTAAGAAAGAGACGTCGAATGGGCTAAAATAGCAACTTCAACCAGTGAGATGAATCGAGTGTCGAGTTACCAATAATACAATAGTATACTGAAGTTAGAAAAGGAAGGATAGGGTTTTCTATGAATTATTTGTCTTAATGGGGAATTGGCAGAACAACTGATCTGGCCATCTTTCATTTCAGTATCCGCGCATGTTGTGAAACCGAATTCATGGTGACAACTTTTAGAGATAAGATAAGATAAGATAAGATAAGATAAGATAAGATAAGATAAGATAAGATAAGATAAGATAAGATAAGATAAGATAAGATAAACTGAGTTAAGATAAGACAAGGTTAGATTAGACAAGTTTTAATTGCCTAGATCCTGGCACATTAACTTGACGACCATGAAGTATTGAAAGCGCTTTAATGTTTATTATCATGTCATTGTAAAAGTTAAACGCCCCTGTAAAGTTATACTTCCGAATTCATCGTCTATCTCCGATAGGACCAAGCCTAAAGGTAGGACGACTTAATCTCCGCAAACTATCCAAGTTCAGAACATCCTGTTGGGGATTCGCAATAAGACCATGCGCTCCGTAGTCAAGCGTGATATCAATCGGGCTAACAGTGCGCCTCTTTAAAACACACTGAGGACGCGCTGTTTTGGGGTCCTTAAAAAAACAGGTGCTTTACCTCGTTGTTCATGCCAATTTTTTTTCAATTTTGTTTTCATTATCTCTAAAACATAGAAGCAACAAAAGTATACAACAAAATAGGCAAATTTGAGTTTCTTATTTGTGTAGGAACGTTCGAAACATGTCGTAACATTGCCTCTAGTTTGCTGCCGGTTGGGCATATTACGTGTCCGTTACGTCTTTTTTTAAACGTTTTATTAAGAATTTTACGGCACTTGCAACATAATAAAGTCATAAAAGTGCCGAAGAATAGATTATGTGTTACAAGAGAGTTACACTTGTACATAAAAAAGAAGGAGGGGAGATAAGGACCATAGATGTTTGATAGAAAAGAAGGAGCAAACAACACCAGAGCACCCGCCAACGTGTTGCGTCTTTAAAGAGTTAACGTCCCAACCTTTCACGATACGACAGAGCGCTGACATAAACTACACAAAACGTCACCACAAATCCAGCGTTCAAGCTAAACGAAAACAAGAGGAGGGGGGATGTCTTGATTTACAACGATGTGTAAAGGGCAACTGTGTTACAAGAGCGGTGTTGTCGGTTGTAAACAAAGTTATTTTTCTCCCCCACCCACGCCTCGTTACTAGTGGTGGGCAGTTAGGTACCCGATTATTGAAAGCTAGGAAACGCAGGGATCGACTCCGAATCCAATTGCTTTCTAATGATTTGCTTTCTTCCAGTGGTTACCTGGTTGACTACGAGCAGCTTCAGGGTTTAGGATAACCTTGATTTTTGAACACTGCTAGGCACCAACTTTTAAAAATTTTTTAAATAAAAGGCTTTTAATTAATAAAGCAATTGACAACCGTTGGTTTACACAAAAGGAATCTGAGCTTTCCTCCGTAACACTAACCAAGGGAATCGGTTGCGGAATTGATTCTTCGCCCAGCTCTACTCGCTACTCGCCCCAGGCGCAGTTAGAGTACTTGACCTATGGCTGAGAATGTAATATTCGTAAAGCGAGTACCAAGACAACTGGATCTTTTGTAGTTTTAGTTATAGTAAAGTTTTTTTTTGGTTTTTGTAAGTGTTTTACGGCGCACGCAACTGCATAAGGTCATATGAGCGCGCGGGACACACTT